AAAATATGCACTTCCAGAAAGTGGTAACTTTTCTGTTCATAGAATTGCTGCTATTCTTTTTGTTGTTGTTCCTGATTTTTTAATTTTTTATTATGTTATGTTAATCACCATATATCACATCATTAGTTTTTGATGTAGTGTTCCATGACTCATTGTTTGCGTATAACACCCAGTGCTCCATGCAGAATGTGCTGCTATTCTTTTCTTTGATCTCCTGTTGAGTTTGTAGGTGTTCTGACTGGTTTGATAATTATCTAGCTAAATTCCTGGAACCAGATGAAATTTAGGTCTCCTACTCCTCCCCCATCTTGTTCCTCCTCAGTCAGGGAGATTCAAAATGTGACACAGAGACACAACGTGAGCAAAAGCTGTTCGAAAAATGGCACCAACAGACTTGCTCAATGCAGAGTTTCCACAAAACTTCAATTTTCAAAAAATGAAATATCTTGATTTTCCTCACTTCAGCTGAACTGCCTGCAGCCCTGGAAGGACAGGGCATGTTGGAGGCTGCGGGCCGGCCTGTTCCAACCACTGCCACCAGTGAGATGGGGAGGGGCAGCAGGACTACTAGGCGGGAGCGCTCAAATGAATTTTATTTCTAATCAATGATGCATTTACTATTATTTATGAACATTTCATTCACATCAAAATATTTTAGAGTCCTTTTCTTAGTATTAATTAACTTACTTTTATTTATTTATTTAACTATTTATCTATTTATTTAAGATTTATTTATTTATTTGAGAGAGAGTGCATGAGCACAGGAGCAGGGGTAGGGGCAGAGGGAGAAGGAGAGAGAGAATCTCCAGCGGACTCCCCACTGAGTGCAGAACCCAGTGCAGGGCTCAATCTCAGGACCCTGAGATCATGACCTGATCCAAAATCAAGAGTTTGATGCTTAAACGACTGAGCCACCCAGGAGTCCCCTAGAATTAATTAATTTAAAGCTAGTGTGCATAGTAATATAAATTTTAATGTGCCATTAAACCAACTTAATATATATATTTATATTATATATGAACTAAATAGATACTTTTGGGATTCACAACCTTTCAATGCACATACATTTAATCCAATGCTATGCTAATGTATACTAAAGGCCCTGTTCTGTGCTGAATTTCTTTTTTCTGCTCTCAGAGATACCATGGGGAATAAGAACAATACAAAAAGAGCTTGCAACATCGTGTAGAAAGGTTACCATCAGTACCCAACTCTGTGCATTTAAGGCAGATACGTAGAGGCAACTTCTCTTAATAAGAACAGTTTTACTTCCAATCATTAGTGCTTCAGTTTTTCATATGAGAGAAAATAAATAAGAGACATTTTTTCTGAGAACATTCAGTTATAGAACTTTCAGAGAAAGGGGGAAAAACATGAAATCAAGGGAAAATGAACATAAAATTTAGGTCACTGCAAAATCAATATTTTCTCTGTGGGTTTTTCTTTACCAGTTGCTTTTATATGCACTTCACATCTAAGTATTTAGACTAAATGCATTTGAAAATCTTGCTTTTCCACTGATGCTCCATTAGCATGAGTGAACTCTGCTGCATCAGAGTCCAAGCTTTTTTAAAGCAAGGAGGAGGCTGAGGGACCTATGCACTCAACAGCAAATCATTCTGATTTTATTAAGTCGTGTCTGACACTCTTTTGCCCCAGTGCCTTTTGACTTCTGCTTCATCAGAAGTCTAAATTTCTGCAACATGTGAAGTAGGTGTCTAAGACATTTGTAGCCTTTTTCTATAATATGTGAACCTGAGGACTTCTTGTTCTCTATTCATCCCAAATTAACTTGTCTCAGAAGACTAAATGGGGCCTCCTATATTGATTTGGATTGCTATTCCCACCATTTGTATGTTCATCATTATATTCCTTTATTGATGTTAGTCATGTGTCTTTTATGGGAAGATAAATGGGAGAAATTATAAGTTGTATTTCTTTAGTGACCCAAGGATCAGAAACTATGGATATTTCTTCTCTTTTGTATAGTCTCCTGGAGTTCTTGTTTTCTTTGTTTTCCTCAACAAATGTTGCTAATAAAGGATATGGAGACCTTGTTTTGCATGTCTCGGCATTTCTCAAATTACTAAAATCTGTGCTCAATAAGCCTCTGTGTTATATCTTCTCTTTCCTCCACCTACAAACCCTTTTTCTTCCCCTATTCTTTCCCTATGCAAATAAGCCTGTTGTTTGCTCTCTGAACAAAGGAGGACCCTTTGTTTTTATTTTGACCCTAGAGCTACAGCCTTTTCTCCTCTTCATCTTCACATCCAAAGTGTTTGAAAATGCAGTTTTCACCTTCTGTCTCCATTTTTAAATTTTTTTTTATTATGTTAAGTTAGCCAACATATAATACATCATTGGGTTTTTTTAATTTTTTTATTGTTATGTTAATCACCATACATTACATCATTAGTTTTAGATGTAGTGTTCCATGATTCATTGTTTGTGCATAACACCCAGTGCTCCATGCAGAACGTGCCCTCTTTAATACCCATCACCAGGCTAACCCATCCTGCCACCCCACCCCCCCAGAACCCTCAGTTTGTTTTTCAGAGCCCATCGTCTCTCATGGTTCATCTCCCCCTCCGATTTCCCCCTTCATTCTTCCCCTCCTGCTATCTTTTTTTTTTTTCTTAACATATATTGCATTATTTGTTTCAGAGGTACAGATCTGAGATTCAACAGTCTTGCACAATTCACAGCACTTACCAGAGCACATACCCTCCCCAGTGTCTATCACCCAGTCACCCCATCCCTCCTACCCCACTCCCTAACCAGCAACCCTCAGTTTGTTTCCTGAGATTAAGAATTCCTCACATCAGTGAGATCATATGATACATGTCTTTCTCTGTTTGACTTATTTCGCTCAGCATAACACCCTCCAGTTCCATCCACGTCATTGCAAATGGCAAGATCTCATTCCTTTTAATGGCTGCATAATATTCCATTGTATATATATACCACATCTTCTTTATCCATTCATCTGTCAATGGACATCTTGGCTCTTTCCACAGTTCGGCTATTGTGGACATTGCTGCTATAAACATCAGGATGCACGTACCCCTTCGGATCCCTACATTTGTATCTTTGGGGTAAATACCCAGTAGTGCAATTGCTGGATTGTATGGTATCTCTATTTTCAACTTTTTGAGGAACCTTCATACTGTTTTCCAGAGTGGCTGCACCAGCTTGCATTCCCACCAACAGTGTAGGAGGGTTCCCCTTTCTCTGCATCCTTGCCAACACCTGTCATTTCCTGACTTGTTAATTTTAGCCATTCTGACTGGTGTGAGGTGGTATCTCATTGAGGTTTTGATTTGGATTTCCCTGATGCCGAGCGATGTTGAGCACTTTTTCATGTGTCTGTTGGCCATTTGGATGTCTTCTTTGGAAAAATGTCTGTTCATGTCTTCTGCCCATTTCTTGATTGGATTCTTTGTTCTTTGGGTGTTGAGTTTGATAAGTTCTTTATAGATTTTGGATACTAGCCCATTATCTGATATGTCATTTGCAAATATGTTCTCCCATTCTGTAGGTTGTCTTTCGGTTTTGTTGACTGTTTCTTTTGCTGTGCAAAAGCTTTTTATCTTGATGAAGTCCCAATAGTTCATTTTTGCCCTTGCTTCCCTTGCCTTTGGCGAGTACATCATTAGTTTTTGATGTACTGTTCAGTGATTCATTAGTTGCATATAACACCCAGTGCTTATCACAACATGTGCCCTCTTTAATACTCATCATTTCTTTACATTTATTTCCTTGTTAAAGCAACAGTGAGCTAGGCGTGTCTAGTTTTAGCACTGAAAATCCCAAGACCCAAGAGATTCCCCAGTCTTGGACAAACTGACACAGCTGGTCACTTTACACACCTTCTCTTCCCATAATCTCTATCTCCAATCACTCTTCAAATTCTGAGAGCTGGGGCACCTGGGTGGCTCAGTCAGTTAAGCTTGTCTGTCTCTGGCTCAGGTCATGATCTCAGGGTTCTGGGATTGAGCCCTGTGTCCTGCTCCCTGCTCAGTGAGGAGTCTCCTTCTCCCTCTCTCTCTCTGTGCCCCCCCCCCAGCTTGTGTTCTCTCTCTCAAATAAATAAATAAAATATTAAAAAAAAAAAAAGAAATTCTGAGAGTTAAACCTCTTGTCTTTAATTCATTCTCCCCCATTTTTTGTTACAGTCCCCCAGTTCAAATTCCCATCCACTCATAGCCTGTTGTATTAGCTTCCTCAATATAACTGACTTCCTTATTCAACTACTGTATTATATTAGCCTTTCTAAAAGGCAAATTTGATTAAGCTACACTGCTTCCTTCACATTCTAACAGTTTCCCTCTGAAACACTATAAAACCTGAGTCAGATACTTCATGATCTTGTCCTTGTCTATCTGAATACTCTTGCCTGCCATTTCTTTCTTCTTCCGTAAGCTCTATTCATACATATCATTATTCCTAGAACATGCCATTGCAGCTTCATATTTCTAGTGCTTTGTACATGCACTACCCATTCCCATAATCCACCCTTCTCAAGACTACCTGGTATATCTTACTTATCGTCCACATCTCAGCTCAACCACAGACTCCTCTTGGAAGCCATCCATACTCTTTCAGGCAGATAACAGTTCTCCTTGATTTCCTCCTGTACCTTATATGTCCTTCCATTTAAAAGCCTATCTCACTGCATTAAGATAGTCTCTTGTTTCTCTTTGCTACAAGATCTTTAAGGAGAAGCGATATGTGTTCCCCTTTCATATTCCCTGTACCAGCAGAGTTTCTATCTTAATAAGTAATTGTTGAATTAATGTTTGATGAAGTAGTTGCCATTATTTTTATAAGCCTTACATTTAGGAGGCAGGGTAGATAGGAGTACATAAGCAAGATCTTATAAAAAGGAACCTACTACCATTCTTGCACAATTACTTTATAAGTTGTACTTAGCACCTAAAGAATGACCAAGAGTGATTAGACTTATCAAAACCTAGAAAAAGGGCTAATAATTTGCTTACTGTTCTTGCATCCCATACAGACAGGGTTTTATCTGCAGAACCTGTGAGAAGAGTGTTGGAGCAAGGAAAAAACTCAATGCTGTTCACAGAATCTGTATGTCCATACAAAGTGCATCTGCATCTTTCACTGTATAGAGAGAAATGAAGAGTTCACATTTTAGGAGTTAGCACCTAAATGTTTCTTATGCTGTCTACACAATGCTAATGAAGATAATTTAAGTATCTGAGGCAAAGGTAGTTTTATAAATGGCAAAAATGTGTAAGAACCACATTTTAAGGGAAAATTCTATAGTCACCTTATATCCTAAGCACTTTATAGAATTAGTAGCATAAAACTGACTAAATTTAAGTTACCTTCAATTTATAAAGTCACTTGGTAAAGCCGTCTTTATATTGTGGCATTTACTCCTTCTCATGAAATGACTACATAAAAATTGTCCCCATCTACTAAGGGAATATACTAAGAAAATAAAACAATGAAATGCAGTTTCATTTGTAGAAAATTTCCCTGCTATTTTCTAATGATTCCTGAAATATAAGTACAAAGCATTTCTTTAAAGGTTTATACTCCAAAGCCAATTATATTGAAATAATCATCTTTAATTATTAGGGTAATTGTTCCAGAAATGTAATTGTTCTCCATACCTTTATGGAGAGACAAGGAGAGATTTTACAGAAAAATAAGAAGTACATATTTATTTTATTAAAATAGTATATTATTGGGCATCTGGGTAGCTCACTTGGTTAAATGTGCGACTCTTGATTTCGGTTCAGGTCATGAACTCAGGGTCATGAGATGAGCCCTACATCGGGCTGCACACTGAGCATGGTGCCTGTTTAAGAGTCTCTCTTTGCCCCTTCCCCCACTCATGCACATACTCTCTCTTTCTCTCTCTCAAGAAAAAAATATAGTAAATTATTACATTAAAAAAAAAAGAATTTAACCATAAAACAAAACAGGCAGAATTAAAGGCATTGCTCAGTCAAGTAAATATTTTATTATTATGAGATATCATTCTCTAAAAGACATCCTAACATTAAGAAAAAATATTAAAATTGTTATTTTAAATTATTTTTTCATTTATAGAAAAGTATAATTAAAAAAGGAAATGAACAAATGTATAATTCCTCCCACTTTTCTTTTACCCACCTTCCAATTCTTTGAAATCATACTGTTAATATTACATCAAAAATCATAACACACATTCAATCAATAATCACAAATCTCATAGTTGCTTAGTGCCCCCCAACCCGTCCTCCCAGTTTTTATCAAATATATATTTAAATTGATCTTCTGCACCCATATCTTTTCCATTTTCTTGATCATTCAGTACTTCAAGAGCAATTCTGTCTGGCTATAATATCTGACATCATCAGTTTTCAAATTTTTGTGAAGAAATGTTCCACTCTTTGTACCACAGGCAAAGTCTGAGGACAACCTAATCTCTCCTCCTATTTCTGTCCAACTACCTTTGTGGATTATTTGCTTTTTATGTGCAATAGCTCTCATAGGTCTTTCACAAACACTGCAGTTCAGAAATTTTATCATGGCATGACTTGATGGTAATTTCCATCTATTATTCTTAGACTTTGGTTATTCTAGGACAGTCTCCTCCATTATATTTTTAGGTTTTTATCTTCCATTTATTTCACTTTTTATTTCTTTAGAAATACCAACTATGTTTTATTTCCAACTATGTTTTATTTTTATTTTTTCTCTTTCTGCCTCTACATTTAACATTTTGTCTATGATACTTATATCCTTATATATATATAGTTTTCATTTTTCACACCTTTATAATTGTCAGTTGTGCTTATTTTTATTTGTGTGTGTATGTATGTGAGCCACCAAAAGCTTTTATGTTTTTTATTTCACTTATTTCCTGATATTTCTTAGTCTACTTTTCACATGTATGTACTCTCTTGTACTTGTACTCCATCATAATGGAATATTTTAGCACTTTTGATGTTTTATTACATAAAATAAATTTAAAAATAGCATTTCTGTAATTTCTTTGAAAATAGAGTGTGCTGTCTATGAATTATTGATAACTGTGCTTAGGTAATTCTTTATGCACTATAAGTTCTTTAGTAGAATTTAGTTTATATTAACTTATTCTTCCATTTTTGCAATTCTTCATAAGTTTGAGGTTGGTTTCTTTTTATTATGACCTATATTTTAATGGGATAGCTACCTGCTAAATATAAATGGCAGAAGGAGAGAAATTGGACCCACCTCTAATTTCTAATCAGATTTGTTGTCTTCCACAAACACATCACCAAGTGTGTTAGTGGCTCCATCTTGGAAGTTCATCTCTCCTTCAGTTTTGTATTTTAAAGTATAGATGCAGTTTGTTGCAAAACCCCTTGAGTCACAAGCTCTGTATTAACTCTAAAGCTCCTGCCTCACTTACCCCCCTCCACTTGCCTCATCTATGGCAATCCCCCTTGTATATTTTATCTAACAATAAAAATGTCCTGTTAGGATTTGTGTTTGCAACTATGATAGAGTATCCAATACTGTACTTCCCACACAATAAACGACTATAAAGTTACACAAATTACATAAGGCAACTGTTTTCTGGCATTAAACTAAGCACAGCACAGACGGTAATCTTTGAGAGAAAGAAAAAGCAACATGAGCTCCATGACCCTCCTGACTTGCTGCTAGGAAGCACTTCCCTGCTATCAAATGTAGCAGTAGGACCCCAGTAGAACCAAAGTCTCAGGCAGACAAGGGGCAGTGAGAACAACTGGGGCTCCGGAGATGCCTGCAATTTGCAGCACAGGGTACGAGAAAAGGAACTCATTGGAATGGCAGTAGTTTTTATGGGGATTTTCTAGGAATTATTGGTCAAGTTATAGATGGCAATTCTACAGAGTAAGAGCAGAGATTTCCTGCTCTGTGTTTGAGAACTGAACAATGATACCAGAGTCCAGCTACTTGTGGAAGACACTGTATTTAAACCCCAACCAGAGTGAAGAGAACTCACTGGGCACCTCACAAGTTCAGCTGGGACTCCAGAAAGACCCCACAGTAAAAGTAAGTGTCATCTTCATGAACTAAGTTCAAAACCAAAGTAAACTTGTCTTGCCAAAGAATAAATCCAAGACAGAAAGGGCAAAAATAATCTGCTGATAATTTAACTTATCACTAGGATAGAACTCACTACCTTTTATAAAAAGACCACCTAATATAGACTCCCTATAATTTGCCATTAATAACAACCAGCATGTAATTTAAAAAAATTACTTCACATGTGAAGAGGTACTAGCTGTGACCCATAATCAAAACAAAATCTCAGTCATAGAAACAGATTCTGGGATGAATCAAATGTTTATAACAGAAGACAAAGATTCCAACCATCTGTTATAAATATGTTTAAGAATAAAAAAGTACAGATAGTTATAATGGGTGTGTGAATAAAGAATCTCAGAAGATAAATGGAGACTATAAAAAAGAAGAACATGGATGAATTAATAAGCATAATATGTGAAATAAAGAGATTGTTGAGTGAGCAAATAGCAGATTAGATACTGGAGAAAAAAAGGATTGATCTGGAAACAGCATGAACAAGAAATAAAAGTATGATTAATATTTTTAACCTCCTATGCACTATTACTGAAATAGAGTCCTATCTGTGACAAAATTAAGCATTTCTATTTGTAAGTAGTTCATTACTGGTAACTTTTTAGAAGACTATATTTATTAAATAGAAAACATCTGAATATGGTATTTATTTTTAATTGAAGCATTTTGACTTATAAAGGATTATGCTTTCAACTTAAAAGATTTTTCTTAAAATATATAATTTGTCATTATACTAAAAAGTCTCCTATTGCAAAGTTTGGTAGTATTTTTAAAGGCAAATACAACAGTATTACAAATATGATTATATGTGTTTCATTATAGTGAAGATCTAACAAACACACATATACACAGAAAATGTATTGTTCTAGTCATGTGTATCGCTGCATATATGTATTATTGGTAAAACACTGTGCACGTTCACAATTTATATTCAGGCTTTGTTGTTCATTAAAAACTCAATTCAGCTATTTGAGAATATATTCATTTATGGTGGTGGGATAGAGGGAGGAACTCCTCAGTGATACAGCTCACATAGTTTCCCAGATGAAAAGAAAAAGCTGGGTCTTCACATAGCTTAAAGGAAGAAAGAACTGCTCAAGGGGGAAAGAAATCTGCTCCGAGTCACTGGTTTAAGGTGGGGCATTCCAGGCAGACAGACTGCAAGAGCAGGCTTGTGAGAGATTAATTAGCTGCCAGAGCAGGGAGCCCCATTCAGAATTTCTTTGCAAGGTGAAAATGGACTAAAGTGATGGAGCATAACAGCACCACAAGGGATGGAAATGATTTGTACATTTCCATCAAAAACATAAACACTGAAACCTGATGCAATTTTCTCTTGGTTGCCCTCTCTGCTGTTTTCCTATCATTTTTGTAGGAAGAAGTTAGTTCACAAGCAATATCTCTTTATTAACTCACCTCCTGCTTTTCCTTTATTTCCTTTCTTCTCTTTCCTTGCCCCCTTGATTTAATTTACTATTCTGGTAACTGAATGATGGATAGTTTTCTGAACTTTCAGCTCATTGTAAAACAAAGTTATCTACTCTTCTAGAGCCCATACATTTCACTTAAAGTGTATTTCCCATACATATGCTAACTCATAAGAGGACAACATTTTAACACAGTTTCCGTTCGTGAGGCATTAAATTTTAGGGGTTTTATTTCCTTTGTTGTGTTTGTTTTAGTGCTATTAATATTGGATATGAAATTGCACCTTTAAAACTTCAAGCTTACATGAATTTACAGATCAACAAAATGTTAATGGAATTATAGAACATTTACAAAAAGGCAACAGCAATATATATCTAACTGAATATGAAGATACAAAGCAAAAAAATCTATCCTTGTTTTAAAAAGAGTACTGGAATTCATTATCTTATTAACCTTTAATAATGCCTAGATTTTAAGTAGCGTTTATGTAATTAGCCAACATGGAATAATAAAATTCATCACAGGGCTTAGCTGAGAAATTCTTTAGGAAATACCTAAATCTAAGAATCCAACATGAACATAAGTGATTAAATAGGTTTATTTAAATT